TGGATTTCTGAATGGGGTACTGAATGAAACGATGCGTGATTATTGAAGGAATAGTTTCACCGAAAAGAGCAAATCGTTCGCGAGTGAAAAAAATTGAACAAAATTCCTTCGGTTGGAAACAGTTGGGAATACGGATCGAGTCGGATATTACACGGTGTAAAATGCGAAGCGAAGGATATGCGACTTAGGGAGAGCGAGGGATTCTCTCGTTCACTGCGCGTTTTTCCCTCTTTTTCGTTTGCCGGGGCATTAAGCGAGCGGAGAGTGAGGCAGCCGCTCGGGATAAGCCGCAGAAAACTATGGCGAGAGTGGTGGCCGTGACAGATTATGCCGTGCCACACGATTCACCGTCTGCTGGTCTAAACCCCGGTACTGCTGCTGCTGCTGCTGCTGCTGGAAGGAAAAAAGAACTGACAGGATAGAGGACGGTTCCATTCCGGAGTGGATTAAAAACCGGGTTCGGCCGTTGTTGGTACCTACACGTATACATGTAGTATTTATTAAATCGAGCGGTAATCCCCGGAAACAAAGTCTGTCGGACTTCGACGAACGTAGCCAGAGTTTCACAAAGAATCAGAAATACTTCTGGAAGACCTATTCGCAATTTCTTTAGTAAGATGACGGTTTAAAAGTAATTTCAAGAGGAATTTCGACGTCGATGACGGGAAAACAAACGACTGTACATATCAGCGAGGTAACGAGGAAGGCGGATGCGCGAACGTGCTTCGGAGTTTCAGAAAAATTCATCGTCGAACGAATATGATCGCGATTAGATGCGATCTGCAACTATTACGCTGCTAATCGCCTTAATTGAGCCCCTTCGTGGGAGAGAGAGAGAACAGGAAGAACCTTGTACAGTACGTAACCGTTTTCTTCCGACGAATATAAAGATCCTTCATATACCTCCGGTGTATTACGCCTCCATTCGTTTCGGATTCTAATAGGAAGAGATTTATCCGTGTTTTTTCTGCCCTCGCCCATCTATCCAAAGTGCACGGTGGTTAAGCAGTGTTTGTCGCGAACCGCTAACGAGCAAAACTGCTCTCCTCTTTCTGGCGTTCACCATCGCATCGGTTCGTCTCCTTTCTGCCCTCCTTTTTTCCAACCGCGAACGACGCTCCGGCTTATATAAGTCTTATAAAGAGCAAACCGGCGGACCACACACATCCGATCCTATCTGCAGTCTTCTCTCTGTGCGCTGCGCCAGGTCTTTCCGCTCTCATTCCTTCCTTTCTGGCCACGACACGGGGACAAACTCTCTGAGCCGCGACGGATCGAGTCGCGCCGCATTTGAAATGCACGACCCGCCAAAACTCACGTTAACCCTTTGACGGTTCACGCAAATTATCATCAAAACGGAGGAAACTTTAATTGAAACCAAAATAACGTTTCATGTGTACCAATTTAACATAAAAGAGATTCATAAGGTTTAACTATTTGGGATACATTGTCAAGGAATTGTGCTAGCATTGTCCTACTATCAATTTCATTCTCGTTTCTAGTACAGTACATCTTCTGAATTTAGAATTTATGCAGAAGGATTCATTTAAGGATGTATTGGCTATACAGTCAATCCCAAAGTTTATCTACCTTAGAAAAACTCATTTCCTTTAATTAAAAAGAAATCAGACGTCGGAAGAACAATGCTAATAATAAATAGCTACGTGCTAAAAAGTATAAAAGGAAATATTCAGTTAATTATTGACGCTGGTGAAAAGCTTTTTATACAGAAATTATAAGCCCTGATGTCCTCAACAAGAAAGATTCTCTGAATTTTTCTTCTAACTTCGATATTTAACGAGTTACATATGATTATTTTGCATTTTATGGATGTTGACAAAATCCGACCATCCCACCGTCGAAATGGCGAACTTTTGGCAAAAAATTTCGTTTTTCGTCAATAACTTCTAAACCGTTGGACCTACGAGAAAATTGCATAGAACCTTTCTTGTAGAGGACGACGAGATCTACAATTTCTGTATAAAAAGTTTTCGCTAGCATCGATAGTTAACGAGTTATTGACGAAAAACAAAAAAAAAACAGTTTTTTGCAAATTACTCGTGAACTATTGGCGCTAGCGACAAAATTTTATATGGAAATTGTAGATCTCATCGTCGTCTACAAAAAAGATCTGATGCAATTTTCCTGTAGATCCATCCGTTTTGGAGTTATTGGCAAAAAACGAAAATTTCGCAAAATCTGAAGGGTACCCC